TGTTGTGTTGGAGAGGTACCCTCTCGCCCGCCGCTCCATCCCGCCGGCTGGCCAGCCCTGTCGGGATTCAGAGCATGGCCCCCAGCTTGCTGTGAGGCTCAGTGAAGGCCAAAGGAGCCTGGAATTAGCAGCAACACATTGCTGCTCCCAGCGAGGCAGGGAAGGGGGGCTCCACTGTGGCTGCGCACCCCACTCCGCTGCCTGGCCCCCTGTGAGCCCGCACGCCTGGGCAGTGCTGCAGGAACGAGCTGGCCCCATGGATGCTGCGCTTTCTGTGAGCTGCCTGGCCTCCCATCGGCCCAAGCCAGGACGCCTGGGTCCCCTGTGAGCGTGGGAAGGCTCTCTCCCCGCTGGCAGCTGAGTCACCAGCGCCTACGTGAGCTGCCTCTTGATCAAGGCAGTGCTCGTGTATCCAGGGATGCATCACATTGGTTACGATGGGCTCTGAAAGTGCCTCACTCCCCCCACAGTTTGGGAGGGTGTCCTGGGGCCAGCACAGCGAGGTAGGACCTGGCCAAGTCCCTGGTGGCAGTTGCGTCCTGCCGTGGCAGCTGTGCCCCGTCGGCAGCAACACCAGGGCTGTTCCTCCTGCTGTTTCTAAGCAAGGAGATTTGCAGCCGTGTCTCAAATCTCCTCTTTGCCTGAGTCCTTCTAGGGGATTTTGGGCCACTAATCCAGCTGCCAGCCGAGGGGGAGTGTGGAACAATGCCTGGCCCAGAGCCCTGTGTTTCCCTGGCCTGCGTGGGGCTGGGGGAGATCCCAGTGCCCGGGGAAGGAATTATGGACTAATGAGCTGGGAAGCAATTAGCCTGGAATGAAGCTGCCAGCTCCCTCCTTTTACCTCCCCCCTGCCCTTCACAAGGCGATGGGGAGGGCTTTGGTGGCATGCTGTCTTCCAGCTGAGGGGCAGGGGGGCAGAGGGGCAGGGGGGCAGTGGATGGCCTCCCTCCTCTGGTCAGGGTGTTTGGTCCCTGATCTCCGGCTGCCCTCAACAGACAAGCTGTGCTTCAATACCTTCTTCAACTACGAGGACATGCAGGAGATCACGAAGCACTTTGTGGTGTGCCACGTGGATGCGCCAGGCCAGCAGGCGGGAGCCTCACAGTTCCCGCAGGGGTAGGTGCCCCTGGTCCGTGGGGCTGGCTGTGCCCACCAGCTTTGTCGCCTCCCTGCCTGCGGGGCTGTCACCCCTTGCAGGGGAGCGGGTGGGTGGCATCTCCATCCCTGCCCTGTAACCACTGTCCTGTGCCCCCCCCCCTGTGCTGCAGGTACCAGTACCCGTCCATGGACCAGCTGGCTGCCATGTTACCCAGTGTGGTGCAGCATTTCGGGTGAGTCCTGCTGCCTCTGTCTCTGCTCCCAGCTCGGCCTCAGGTGCCAGCCAAGGGTGCAGGCCAGGGAGGTGAGGTGCTGGAGGGCACAGAAGACAAGGGCCTGGGGCTGGGAGGGGGGAAATTGTCCCACAACCTGGGACCTTGCATGTCTTTTGGGGCCCTGCTGCAGGCCTTGCAGGAGGCAGAAGGGTGCCAGAGCCTGCTGGGCCCCCTGCACTCCCCTCTCTGCCTTCCAGGTTCAAGTATGTGATTGGCATTGGCGTGGGGGCAGGAGCCTACGTGCTGGCCAAGTTTGCGGTGAGTCTGGCGCTAGGATGGGGCGTGAATTGCCCGTGCCCGCTGACACCCCTGGGCATGCCATGCCACTGGGAAGGCTCCTGGAACGCCAGGGTGGCTGGGACGACAGTGTCATGTTGTGCTCACCGCATCCCCTGCCACCCCCAGGACAGGGCTGCATCTGCTCCTCAGAGCTGCCAAAAGCCTCAGGGCTCAGGGGCTGCCAGAGCTCACCCCAGCTTTGGTTAGTAGGACAGCTCGTGGGCAGCACTGTGGCGGAGGGGGACAGCCCTGGGCACGTGCCCCCTCCCCGCTGCGCATCATCCCCTTCTCTTGGTGCAGCTCATCTTTCCCGACCTGGTGGAAGGGCTGGTCCTCATGAACATTGACCCCAATGGCAAAGGCTGGATTGACTGGGCAGCTTCCAAGGTGAGCTCAGCCCCGGCAGCCCCCCCCAGGGCTCAGCACCCCTGTCCTGCACCGTCCTGCGGGGCCAGGGCAGGAGCCAGCCGCAGTGAGGGTGTAACTGCCTGTGCTCCATCCACAGCTCTCAGGCCTCACCAGCACACTGCCAGACATGGTCCTGTCCCACCTCTTCAGCCAGGTAAGGGCTGCCTGTCCTGCCCTCTGTCCCAGGGAAGGGGTTAACCAAACTCCGCTCATGTCCCTCCTGCCCGAGCTGGCCTCAGGCCTGACTGGGTCTGTGTGCAGCTTGTGCCCATGTGCTACCCAGGTGTGAAGCCTGCTAGCGTTCCTGTCCTCCCCCGATGTGGCACCTGCTTGTGCCTGTGTGCTTCCTGGCTGTGCTGCTGCACAGCTGTCCCAGCTGCAGCATGCTGATGTCATCCTCCTCCAGCCATCGGCGGGGACCATGTAGGAAGGCTGTGGGGGAGCGGGACAGTCCCTTGCGTGGCTGGTCCCTTGGGTGGCCAGCAGCAGATGCCCTGCCTAGGCCAGGCTGATCTCTCTCCCTGCTGGCACAGGAGGAGCTGGTGAACAACACAGAGCTGGTGCAGAGTTACCGGCAGCAGATCAGCAGTGTGGTGAACCAGTTCAACCTCCAGCTCTTCCTCAACATGTACAACAGGTGAGTCTCCACCAGGATGAGGGGGCTGGGGCACCCATGGGTGGCCCCAAGGATGCCGCGGAGACCTTGGTCCCAGCTGGGCGCTGCTGTCACCCTCACAGGCAGGCAACAGAGCAAAGCAGGTCCCTGACACTGGCCAGGGGATAGGGATGGTATGGGGTGGTGGTACCAATGCCAGAGCCATTGCACCCATGAGCTTGCCATGTCCCAGAGCTCACAGCCATGGGTGCATGTCCACCTGGTCCCCCTCCAAGCTGGGTCCTGGCACAGGCCTGAGGAAGGGGGCAGAGGTGCTGCCCCACGTGTGCGGGTGGGAGGAATCTCCCTGCTTCGCTGGCTGCCATTTCCCATGGCGCAGGCGCTGCTTGGGGCATGGGGGGCCAGCGAGGATCATTGTGGGGCCCTCCATCTGCGGGGTAGTGGGACGCAGGGGCCAAGAGCCACTCCCCCAGCACTGGCAATGCGCCGGCTCTGCACTATGGCACCAGTGGTAGGCAGTGGTAGCGCCTGCCCGCAGGGCTCATACTGGCCCCCTTTCTCCTCCGCTAGCCGCAGGGACCTGGACATCAACCGGCCCGGGACCGTGCCCAATGCCAAGACACTGCGGTAAGAGTCATGCCAGCGCAGGGGTCCTGGGCAGGCGGCCCACAGGCCAAGCCCTGACTGCACCTCGTCCTCCTCTCATTTCCAGCTGCCCTGTGATGCTGGTGGTGGGAGACAACGCTCCCGCCGAAGAGGGGGTGGTGAGTAGTAGCAGGATAGCGCCGCGTCACCTAAGTAGCAGGGTAGCGCTATGTCACCTGTGCACAGGCACGCTTGTGCTTACGTTCCCTGCATACTCAGACACGTGTGAACTCCCCGCATGCTGGTGCACACGTGCAGACTCACGTGCGAACCTGCCCGCTTGTGTTCACATACACCTGCATTTCCACGCTCAGCCATGCTCACACACACCCAGCCAGCCCCCGTGTGCCCAGACATGGGCACACATGCACACTGAAACATGTTTGTGCCCATGCACACTCCCTTCTTGGCTACGTGCACCCAAACTGCTGCTTGCACACGCCTGTGCTTACCCATGCCTGCATGGCTGTGCACACTTGCAGAGTTACACATGCCATGCAGTTGGGCACACTTGCACACTCACGTGCAATAGTGTATGCACGCACACACTCCTCTAGCCCATGCACATGCAGATGAACATGTGCACATGTCTGTGCTTGTATACACATATGGGCATGCACAGGACCCCTCAGCGGCCAGCAGCTGCCTCTCACCAGCCCCACTCCATGCCCAGACCCCAGGGTGCGGGGGTGGGGGGCGTTCTTCCCAGGAATTGCCTGGCAGAAGGAAGGGCCCCTGTGCCTCGTGGCAGAAGAAGTTGATGCTGGTACCAGGGGCTCACCTTGACCTCCCCATTCCCCACCTGGCTGTGGTGGGATGTGCCTACCTGGGTGCTCAGGGCCAGTGGCAGTGCCCATGGGCCACTTCTGCCAGGCTCAGGGCACCCTGAGGTGCTAATAAGGTCCCTCTCACCCGCAGGTGGAGTGTAACTCCAAGCTGGATCCTACCAACACCACCTTCCTGAAGGTAAGTGGGCAGCAATGGGTAGCAGGGTGGTTCCCCACTCCCCAGGCAGTGCCTCTTTGCCCTGCACCCCTTGCCAGGTGATGGAGAGGGCCAGTAGGCCCCTGGCCCAGGTCTGTCTGGGCTGGAGGCAATGCGGGAAGAAAGGTGGCCCCAGTAGAGCCAAGGGGGGGCCATTTGGTGGCCTTCTGTCAGCGGGTGCCAGGGGGCAGAGGTCCCCACTACTAACCAGGCGCTTCTCTCTGTAGATGGCTGACTCCGGTGGGCTGCCCCAGGTCACCCAGGTGAGCAACCCCCAGTTTCCCCAATCAACTGGGTAGACTGGGCCCTGGGGCATGCACTGGGGGTGGCCCTGGCTAGCAGGGGATGGGGTGCATGTGGGTGCAGGGTTCCTGTCCAGGGGATGCCCCCAGCTCCTCGCCTGGCCAGGGGGGAGCCGGGAGCGGGGGGTTGACCGGGGGCTCAGCCCTGGCTCAGCCCCACAGTGAGTGTCGGGGCCCACAGGGGGTGGATGCGCATCGGCGGGTGTGTGGGGCATGGGGGGCGGGGGGCAGGTATGCAGGTGCTACCCAGCAGCTGTGCGTGCTCATCCTGAGGTGTGTGCAGGTGTATGCAGGTGTGCACATCAGTGTGCATACAAAGCGTGTGTGTGTGTGTGTGTGTGTGTGTGCGTGTGCGCGCGCATGCACACACAGGCTGTGTGTGCAAACACGTGTATGTAAAAGAGCTGTGTGGGTGCACATGCGTATGTACAGGGTATATGTGTGCATGCACACAAATGTGTGTGTGAATGCATACACACATAGGTGTGCAGAGGCCATATGTGTTTGCAGGTCGATGTGCACAAGTGCACGTGTGTGTGTGTGTGTGTGTGTGTGTAGGTCTGTGTGCACATACATGTGTCTATGTGTGTGCAGGTCCCCATGCATCTGCAAGTCTGTGTATGCAGCTCCGAGTGCACTCACACATGTGGGTGGACAGGTTCACATGCACACAAGTGTGTGTGTGCGCACAGGCCCGTGTGCACACGTGTGTGGGGCTGGGCCTCAGTTCCTGGCCCTGCACAGCAGCCGACATGGCTGACGCTCTCTTTCTCTGCCCTCCCTGCCCTTCTCCCTCTCTGTCCTGGCCAGTCGCCCACCTGAAGGATCGGAGGCTGAGTGGAGGCACAGGTACCGCTCAGTGCTCCTTGGCCCGTGCCCATCACTGCATGGTGCCTGCCTGGCCCTGGGCCTGCCAGCCAGCCTGCGCCCCTGCACTAGCAGGGCCATGGGCCCTCTACCCGCTGCCCGGGCACCTTTGGGAGCAGCCTGTGTGTGGGGCTGGAGGGGGCCTGGGCCACCCTTCCCAGCCAGGTGTCCTCTGCCTTGCTCTGCTTTGCCTGGGAGAAGGGGGTGCCCCCACGCTCCGCCTGGCACCCTGACCCAGAGCAGGGGGCAGAAACGAGTTTCAGAGATGTCCACCTGATGCTGGCAGAGTCCCAGCAGGCTCCCCACCGTGCCCTCCTCTAGATGGGCGCAGTGCACCCTGGCCAGAGGAGGAAGTCACCCACCCTGGAGAGTGACAACAGCCCCTGTCCCCACTCACCCCAGGGCACCAGGGAGGGGGGGGGAGTCCCCACTGCCCAGTGTCCAGGAGATTTCCGAGCTGTGTCCAGTGTGCAGCCCAGAGTGCAGCCAGCCTCGGGGCACCCCGTCTCTGCCTGCCGCTCGTCACCAGCCTCCAGCTGCTC